GTGAATTTTCCTTCTGTGATTTGCATTCCAAGGAAGTCGATGTTGGGCTGGGCTATCGTCATCTTTCGGGCCGAGAGCATAATTCTATATTCTTCAACTATGCCTTGAAATTGTCGGAGAGACCGAATATGCTCTTCTTCGCTTGTTGAGAATAACAGAATATCGTCGATGTATATTAAAGCCGTGTGGAGAAGAGGCTTAAATATACGAAGCATCACTTGCTGAAATAGCGATGGCGCTGTCTTTAATCCGAAAGGTAGAACATTCCATTGGAGATGTCTGTTGGGTAGGCAAAAAGCTGTTTTGTATCTTTCATCAGGATGAACACCAAGTTACCAGAAACCAGACTTTAAATCAAACTTGGAAAATATGGTGGCTCCTTGTAGGTGTTGAAGGAGTGCCTTCTTGTTTGGTAGAGGAAACTTGACGTCTTGTAGATATCGGTTCAGTGGTTTGTAATCAATTACCAGTCTGATTTTTCCTCTTGCTTGTTCTGCCTGGTTGTTCACATAGAATGCTTTACATGCCCAAGGTGAATTTGTTGATGAGACAACTCCTTGTTTCACTAGTTGGTCACATTTTTCATTTGCTTGTGTCAATAATGTTGGTGGCATGCCTGCGTGACTTGCTTTTGTCGGAGTGGTATGGACATTCTCCTTGAAAGGTAGAGAGACGAAGAATTCTGAATTCAGCCATAGCGGTTTGTCACATTTTTGAAGGAAGTCTGTGTGAGAGTCTGCACATGAGACTATTGTGATCTCTTCTTTGATTTTCTCGAAATCTTGAGATATGACTCATTCGACCGTGAATAGACGTGGGATTGTTGTAAAAGCTTTGTAGAAAGCCTTCCATCTCATTCCTCGTGTCTCAATAGATATATCAAAATTCTTCTTAAAAGTGTGATAGGAATCCCATCCTAATATCAAATCTTTTCCTGGTGCTGAGGATCCAAGCACTTCTGTCGTAATCTGACAGCCTGGGAAAAGTTCGATCGTCACCGGTTTGGATTTGAGATTGACCGTCAATGAACCCGAGTTTGCTAATCGAAATTCTTGTTGATGTGGTAGCCACATAGAAATCGGGAGAATTTTTGGGTTCATTATCGTCGTATATGCTCCTGTGTCGATGAACGCAATTGCATGAACTGGCTTCTCCTTTTGTGATGGATCAAAGATCGTAACTGGCAGATGTGGTGTTTGAATTTCTTCTTTTTGCGGCATACGAGTGATTTTAAAACAGCTGTCGTTATTGACTTCTTCTTCTGAAGAGGAGGAGTCGGATGAGTAGTCATAATCCGAGTAGCCACATATGGCATCTTGTTCATCACTATCATAGGATAATACTGATTCTAGATCGTGGTTGTCGAAATCGAAGTCTGGTGCGATCTTCGAGATTGAGCTGATTAAGTACTGCTTCTTTTTCTTCGACTTGTTTGGGCAGTTTTTTGCGAAGTGACCTTCTTTGCGACATAGGAAACACTTCGTTGTTTTCTTGAAGCTTCGTTTCTTTCTGAAAAATCGCTTGAGTCTGAATTTGTTGAAACGCTTGTGAGACGTTTTTCTGAATCTCCGTGATTTGCTACGATCATCACACGAACATGTCTTCTTGGATTTTGAACATTTGATGGATAGATCTGGTCTTGCACAGATCCTGGATAGTTGCTTTGATTTATCCATGAATTCCATCCAAAACTCCTTTTGCTTGCAGAGTTTGTCTAGTGTTCGGAAGACATATTGCTGTATTTGGCCAATGGAAATATCTTCCACTGTCTGGCTTTGATCTCTTATGTATAGCTTCGTTTGTTGACTGAGGTAGTCATCAATCGAAGAAAGATGTACCTGCTTAAGGTTTGGATTGTTGAGACCATTAAGAGCGTAATAACGTCGCGTCTGTCGCTCAAAATGCTTAGCTAGGTCTCTTTTCTTCAATGAGCAGCATTTCGCAGTAAAGAACTCTTCTTGAAGCTGTTCTTTCAAATGTGTAGGTGTACCGATAAATTCTCTATGAATATCTCCGAGAAGTAGCGGTATTGTTGTTTGATAGACTTGCTGCTGTCTGTATTCACCAAGTGAATTCCACCATTCTTTGAGTGCTCCAGATAGTCGCGCCGTAAACTGTTGAATTACAAGCTCTAAGGGAGACGTGATTGCTTCAGAATTCATCCATGCATGAAATTCATCGAGACGATCATTCCATTTTTCGAAAGGAATGTCATCAAACGTGAAGACCATGACTTTAGAGGCAAATGGTCTTGTTGGTATTTCTTGCTGCATGTGAGGCCTGTACTCCATATCTTCATCGCTTGAATAGATTTCATGTATATCAGGTTCTCGTTTTAGAGTTGATGGTTCGCCTCTTTCGTCGCCTATGGCAAATTGGTTTGGGAGAGATTCCTCATCCGAAGCTGATTCGGAACTGTTAGAATTAGTCTCCGAATAATGACCGATATTTGCAATTGGTGTTGCAATTTATTGAGAAGGCTGTGTTTGCGGCATCTCCGTGGCTGTTTGAGCAGTAGAAGTCTGTCCAATAGTATCCAACAGACTAGCCATAGAGAATTCAATTATACCAATTTCTTTTCCTTCTCTTTTTGAATCTTCCACTGATTCATGGCTTGACGAAGAAGTAAGTGTTGGTCGTTTGGTAGGATTGACCATAAACTCGGAATCCTTCTGTCGTCTTGGTTTTGATTTTGACACCTTTGGCTTGCTAGCTGAGGTCATGCCATATCTTGACGTAAAGGCTTCGTCAGATGATAGGAATCCGGGGGCCGGTGTTTTTGGTCTTTGATTCGTATAGCCGGAGAGAAATCCTGGGGAGTAGGTGCCCTAGTACATAGGCATTCCACCAAAAGGATTGGAATAAGAACTCGTAGGATTCTGATTGTAAATCATACTCTCGAGGCTTCTTTGAAGAACTTTTAGCTGGGCTTTGAGGCTGGCTGTCTCTGCTTCTTTATGACGGAATTGTGCTGTATTGACCATCATATTTTGTGCCATAGCCATCATTTCTTGATGAAGATTGTTAAGCCGGCCATGGATCTCTGTTATTGAGATCTGAAGGCTAATTTGCCTTTTGATGTAATTTTCCGTCAGCTGATCAACCTTGTAATTTATTGTTTTGAGGAGTTGATTTTGAGCGATGGCATTCTCAGTTTACCAGTTGAGGACCTTTTCTCCTTGGCTTAGTTGATCTGGTCCAGAAGAATTGATTGCTCGAGTGAGTATCTTCGGGGCTGTGTGCGATGTTGTCCTTGGTAAAGTCGCTTGAAGGAGGGAAGTCTTCGGTGTTGATCATCATGATTTGATTTTCATCTTTCTTTTCCGAATATTGGACTATAAAGTCGTATCGCCCGTTACCTTCACCGAGAGGACCGACGGTGGGATCTCCTTCTAGATATCTTTTGTAGAGTGGATCCTTTTTCTTTCTTCTCCTTGTGCGAATCTCGTCATCAGATTCGTATTTGGCTTCTTCACATGCTGAGCAGGAACATATATCGAAATATTGATGTCCATCTTCATCTTTGAAAGGATATAGTACCAATCCGTTTTGTCCAAAAGAGATTGGTTTAGGATTTTTCTTTTGTTGGACTATAGAATTCCGTTTTGTCAATTTGGATAGCAAATTGAGTGAACAGTTGTTTGCGGAATGAGGATGATCTTGGTTTTTTGAACTTGATTTCGGTTGTACCATCATTTCGTGAATGAAAGCTGACTTCAGAGGATTGAATCGGTGTTTGAACCGCTTGATGCAGCTTCTCGTAGCTGGTGATCCATGATTCTGGTAGTCGGCGGAGCAGCTCTTCGCGAGATATTTGACGAGGAATCTGGATGGAGTTTGGTGCTTGAGATGCTGAAGTGACTTCTAGGTAAAGTGCTTCATCAGAAGAGGGTAGTACAAGATCTAAGGCATGATCTTGGATTCGGTAGACTATCTGATGATGAAGGGTCGCCACGACACTTTTCTCTTGCATAGGAGCTCCGGTGAGCTGAAGTTGGACCTTGAGTGTCTTCAGAAGATTTGGATCTTGTAGCGAGACATTAAAGTTTGGAAACAGTGTCACGAATACTGTTCCGGCGTTTAATGTTGTTTGGACTGTTCCGATGCAAGCTTGTTGGTAGGATTTCAGTCTTGAATCGACCAAGGCGATTCTTGCTATAACAGGTAGACCTTTTCGAGCATGTAAGGTCAAACCGATCCGGACTACACCAAAGTGTAGGTGAGTATATCCTTGTTGTTGCCATAACCTACGAAGGTTCTCCGGTATGTTGAGCGAGATGAATTGCTTCTTCGGTTGCTGGGACTTGACAGGATGAGAATTTGCTGGACTGGACATATTCCATGACTTTTCGATTGGAAGATGGCTTGATGAGTTCTCGAACACCTTTAACTGAGAAAGCACTAGGCTTTTTGGCAAAGTATTCATATGGATTAACAAGAGGGAGTGTGGTTTCGGGTAGCTGATCTCTAGGGACGTATTCAATTTTGTAGAGAGAATTGATACTAGATGAGGAAGAACGGCTTTTTAATTTTGGTAAAGTGGAAATTGCAAACGGAGAATCGATGGTTGGAGGATTTGGATTTGAAATTGACATGATTAAGGGATCATTTTCCAGAACATTCACAACAATCATTCATAAACAATGATTCTCTCAATCATAACATGAGTCGAGGCTCTGATACCATAATTCTCTCAATCATAACATGAGACCGCATAAATTGGTGGTACGGTTTCTGTTAAATTTGGATCGTTTAAACAAATTACCCATTAGCTTGACATAGTATGCTTAAGACCGCTTATGACCGTCTAAAACTAATGTTTTCGCTTAATAAAAATTGCTTAATACCAACATCTAGGCAAGAAAACAGTCTATTACCAAATTAGTTTAATGGGTCTTACCGTCTTACCAAGGATTTTCCGGCGGAATCAGATCCTCCAAAATTAAAAACTATCAGAAATTTTTGAACAGATTACATGAAAAAAAAAAGTAAAATAAACGAAATGTCTGTAGCTTGTAGTAACGGTTAGTACTAGTGTCGTCGCTAAGTCATATATTAGGTTCAAGTATGATAATGAGTACAAACTAAGTAATGCATTTATCCAAAAAAGGTTCTTATACAACGTGGAACAAGTTACAACTAAATTTCATTTGTAACCCAATTATTATAGCACGATCCAACATATCTGCAAAGATCCAACTACTATAAGAATATATTAACCGTTATTTTTTTCGTTTGTTTGATACTAATCTTGATCATTCTTCTTAAATACTTTCTTCGACCACTAATCAAGAAACTTTCGGGTACGACTTTGGCTTTATGGGCCTTGTCCTCTAGGCGATTTAGAGGGCGGTAGAAAGATAGGAGGTCGGGCGATTGGAGGGGGAGGAGGAGCGGCAAGAGGAACGCAATCCAAACGCAATAATAATATGTCATGTCATTAGTCTCTTTAAACAATTAATGTAATAACCAACACAATACAACAATATATACATACATGCAGGGGCGGAGGGAGAGAGGAAGGTATGGGGTCACATGCCCCCTATTCTTTTTTGTTTTTTATTAAATAAACCTTAAGAAAATTGATTTAGTATGATATTTAAATGAATTTATAAAAAAGTGCCCCCAATTAAAAAAAAATATGCATTTTATTGAAAATGCCCCCAACAAAAAAATGTTCTAGATCCGCCACTGCATACATGCATGACACTGCCGGTTATTACTGTATATGGATGTTGTGATCTCATATAAAAAAGACGCACAACTCAATACTGAAGCATTAGATCATCCTACCATGTATAGAAAAACAAGAGAACTAGTGTAAATAATGCGAGTTAATACTTACCTTGGCGACGTGCGGCCTGGACGACTCCAACTTGAGTTGAGACCAATAAAAGCAGAGTTAACAGAGACAGAAGACGAGAAACGAAATTAGATGTCTTTGTAGCCATTAAGATAAGTGGTCGACCCTCTCAAAACTCCATTACAGGACCTATATTATATATATAAGAGAGTGAAGCATCGTTAGAGATCCTAAATCTAGTACTGGACTATCGAAGACGTTCCCATTTAACGCGCTTTTACTTAATTTGTCACTTTGCAATAAGTCTTCAGGCAATAAATGACATTATTTTGTGCAACTGACATTGATGTATAAAGTAAAGTTTCATAAAAAATTGAAAAACTATAACTTCTCATAATCGATTAAATATTCAAAATTAAACCAATAAAAGGACACAACATGGCACATTTTAGGGTGTATATAACTCACTTCAATTTATAGGTTTGTTAATCTCTAGAGACCTGGTTCATTTAATCAAAAAGCTCAAGGAATTGCTTGACAAAGACTTTTTTTTCATGAATTTAATCGAATCAACAAAAAGAAAAAAAAATCTTATTTAACTTCAAATCTGAATAAAAAAAAATAGCAAAAGCAACATTTATACTGAGTAAAGACCCAGGAAACAAACAACCCTAAAAGCTCAAGAAAGAAAAAACTAGGGAAGAAAGCTCGAGAAAGATATATCAAAAGTATTAGGCCATTCCGCTTCGCCCTAAGCCTAGTAATCCTAGCCATGAGCGAAGGTAAAGCCGCGACAAAATCAGTGGTCTTAGCGTGGACTCATGCAAATAACAAGTTGGTCAAGTAGTTACGGAGTTTAAGTAACTGGAAATGAGCTCCTTTCGTTTGTTCGTTAGTTATTGTCATGATTATTAGTCAAAAAATTTGAAATATAGCAAGGAAAATGATGGCGTATGATCCAAATGGTGGCATAAAAACACTACTATCATCAGAGAGTAAAAGTGGTGGCAAAAACAGGTATATACATGTAATGTACATATATGTTTTAAAGGGATAACCAATCATTAATCTCTTTAATATTTGTAAAATATCCAATTTTACCTTCTTTTTTTTTAACAATTTTCAGTTCAAAAAATTTTATTCTTCTAATTTACACACACGCATATATACACGTCTATAACTATTATACACCTTTAACTTTAAATGATATAAAATATCATTTGCATAGTTGACTTATAGGCCAAATGGAGACATATATGCCGGACCATCAACTAGTAGAGAGGGTAGAATCTTGAATCAAGCTTCTCCTTAGTTTTAGGCTCATTATTATCCTTTCCCATTAATTGGAAGTCGCGAGCTCTGAAAGTATATAGACATGACTGTAACCTTGTGTTTGTAAATCTCGGTATTTCTGTTTGGATCATGAACTATTATAGATATTTATGATATTGACTAAAAGAACTTTAGTTTATGTGTTTCCGAGTAAGCATATTCAATTTCTCTAATGTCTATACAATATGTTTGTGTATTATAGTAGCTGTTTATAGAAGTTAATGAGATTCATAAAAACATACAGATCGTTTGTATTAAAAGTAGTCCGATTTGTTTTTAACCCTTTGAGGTTGTTGAAAAAACCATGTTGAATAGCTTGCGTTTAAGGCCTCTTCTCGCCATCTTAATTTCCGATTGTAATATTAAATCGTTTTTTAAAGGATTTTAATCTTTTATTTTCAGCTAACGGCTAACTTTTGTTATAGCTGATCACCACGAAATTTTTGTCATGTTTTAATTTACTCCTAAGAGTATAACTGTATAAAAATGATTTTGTTGCAAGTCACTCGGATAATAATTATTTAAATGCTCTATTTGTTTCATGTAATATGAATTTATATGAAATCGTGCTAATATGAAATTATATAATTTTCTTTAAAAGATTACTCACGATTGATTTAGATTATGAGATATTACGTGGATCATTTGGTGTATATATGATTCATTTCTATCAGTTTGCTATATTTCATTCATTGATGGCGATGGCGACAAAAAAAGGGTCACGGAGATACAAGAGAGTCAATAATTAAAATGAGTGGAATAGAAAAATTCAAAAGAAAAAAAATATATTTTGGACTTTTGTTTTGTTTAGTTTTTGAGAAAGTTGCCTCTATATCCAAACGGGACATATAGATAATATCAGCCAAAGAGAAAGAGAAAGATATAGAGAGAGATGGGTTCTTTACAGTTAAATCATGTGTTCATTGTGGTTCTGCTTCTTTGCGTTCTCCCTTGCCTTACCGAATCTGCTCTCCCTTCTCAATATGAACCACTTTCAATCAACGGTTAGTTTTACTTTTTCAGTACTGTTGGAGGTGAAAACCGCACCCCGGTTTTCTCCGGTGCAAACCGAAATCGACAAAACATAAGCCTGGTTTACGAAGGGACGTATCAAGAAAAGATGAGCCGAGCAAAGATGGGCCGAATACAGCCCATTAGGCCGAGGTCGGTGAGAAACCTCTCGAAGGAATAGAGAGTTTCCTGAGCTCGGTCGAAACAGGAAAGTTTCCTAATGGGAAAAGGAAACTTTGGAGAGAAAAGGAAAGGAACCGAGAGAAAATGAAACTCCTCTCGGTCCCATATCGTCTAAGGCGTGCTTGAAGACCGACTTAAGAGATATATATAAAGGGAGACGAATCGACACCAGAAAACACAAGATATTCCCGAGAAGACTTAAAGACTGAGAACTCACTACGCTAGCTTCTTAGTCGCCTTAAGTCTTAGTTCGTTATTGTCTATCTGAATAACCGAACTCAGTTGTATTTTACTTGATTCAATCTAATAAAAACCGAACTTCCGATCTAAAAGTACTGTTTTGTCCTTTGTCGATATTTGCATATCAACACTTGGCGCGCCAGGAAGGGGGACTTAAACAGATTTCTCAAATTTTAGATCGGACTTCGGAAAGATTGAATCAATGATGACGGATCAAACCAACATTCATGAAGAAAAAAACCCTCTCGGAGGAGAGAACGCCAACGCCCCAACAGGGCAAGGAGGAGGAACTTCTGGGGAAAACGCTGGAACTATAGCCGGCCAGACTCCCGCAGGAGGTTATGGAACCGAACTGCTACTTCAAGTATTTAATGCCCAGTTCGAGGCCATCAAAAAAATAAGTGAGGAACGTTTCAGTCAGATGGCGGCACAAATCGCCGAACTCAGTCAAACACGAACTCCTCTCCGAGTTCGGAACATCATTGACGATCTTAATACCGACGGAGATCCAGCCGGAACTATGAGGTCTGCCGCAGTCGGGTCAGCGAATGCACCAGCATCGGATTTGAGCCGAGACGCCGAGTTCGAAGCAATGAATGCGCAGCTTCGCGATATCACCTCAAAGATACATCAAGCCACAAGCGCGGCTCCGGAAATCGAACGCGTCATTCAGGAAACACAGAAGACACCCTTCACACCGTGCGTAGCAGGGACGCCGGTCAAACACATGGAGAAACTAAAGATAAAAATCTACGAAGGCAACTCTGACCCCCGACACTTCTTGACATCGTTCGGCATCTGCATGAACCGATCCCAATTCAAATCCGCCGTAGAAAGAGACGCGGTTCAGTGCCAACTGTTTGTGGAAAGTCTGGGAGGAGTAGCCCTCGACTGGTTCTCGCGACTCAAAGCCAATTCGATCGACAACTACAAGGAGTTAACGACGGCTTTCGTCAAACACTTCTCCATGTTCATTGGACAGAACACCAAGAACTCCGAGCTCTGGCAAATAGCTCAAGGACCAAGCGAGAGCCTTCGTGATTTCATCCAGCGCTTCAAGACGATCGTCGCCAATTGTACGATTAACGACGAAGCCGCTCTCTTATGTCTTCAGAAAGGAGCTCGGATAAAGACTAGCTTCTGAAGCGCGATCAAGCATAACCCCCCACAGACATTAGAAGACGCGTTGCACCGAGCTAATACTTACATCGCTGAAGAAGAAGAAGAAGCCGCGTACGAGCAGAGTTATTCAACGAAGCAACCCGAACGTCCGAAAACCGTGACTAATGAGCCGCAGTCGGGATACGGTCGAGGATACGAGAATCGCAAAAAGGTCTATGCTAATGCGATCCAACAACCGAACAAGAAGTGGAACAATAAATGGGTCCGCGGTGAAGAAGATCAAGACGAGTCATTATTCTGCGAATTCCATAACCGTAGGGGCCACAGCACCGAAGAATGCAGACATCTGCGAGAATATCTACTCGGCCTATATCGAAAGGAACCGATCTTGGTCGACGAACTCCGACGCTCAAACGCGTCTAAGAGCGGCGGGCAACTTTCGATTGACGATCTCCGTTGTTCACACATGCCTTGACCAAACAACGAACAGCTTGAGAAAGCACTCGCCAAAGATCCACCAGCTCCACCGGCTTTACCAACACTACCACCACCACCACCGAATCCGCCTGTTTTGCCCGAGCAACAGAAACGGAATCGTGATGACCGAGCACCAGAGAATCACGCTCCTAAGGCGCGGAAACGTGTCAACATGATAATGGGGGCCATCGAAGCTTGCAGTTATTCGGTTCAAGCCATCAAGGAATACAGCCGACAGGCCGCCAGCGCGCCCAAAGCCCCGCAGGATCCGCCGAAGGGAACACCCTTGGTATTTACCGAGGCCGATACAATCGGGTTGCACAAACCGCATAACGATGCCCTCGTCGTCGAACTACTCCTCGACGATGTTGAAGTTAGCCGAATTCTGGTCGATACGGGTAGTTCGGTTAACATTATCTTCAAGGAAGCACTGACCAGCTCGAACTAGCATCAGATAGGATTGAGCCATTTATCGAGCCACTTACCGGTTTCGATGGAGAACGTTGTATGACGGTCGGCATGGTCAATATTCCGATCTACCTCGGCGGAGTCGCGAAGATTATCCAGTTCCTTATCCTCGACAAACCGGCAATCTACAACGCTATTCTCGGTACACCTTGGCTACACGCGATGAAAGCGGTCGCCTCGACGTACCATTAATGCCTAAAGTTCCCGACTCCCGACGGTGTTTACACTCTCCGAGGAAACCAAGCCGTCGCTCGATCGTGATACATAAACGAGTGCAGACTTCATTCGGCCAACCAGGCTTGTGTCATTAGTTCGTTGGGACCAACTGACA